TGGATTATTGTTTCTGGGGTTTTTCCAATTCATTTCAAGTTTGTACTGAACAACTGAAAATCCCCGGGCTATGGGATTACAATGCCACATTTTCCACAGTTTTTGAATGAGGTTGGAAGTAGGTTTGTGAAGTTTATGTTGTGGTGACGACTGGAAGACTAAAAGGATGCCTGTACTGCAGTGTCTCTTGTCACCGTATCATTGTGGACAAAACTGAAAGACAATGTTACCATGTGGGCGGCATGTTGTAAAGTGTGACCTGAAGTTTTAGAACTTCTATTTGACCCTCCTACGGAAATATGACCAACAATGGATTTTTGTTGTTGTTGTTTTTTACCCTGAACATTTGAATGACTGCCGCCACTACAGATTTACTCCCTCTATTGAAATTTGGATTAATTCTACTTGAAACAGCGCCTTAAGGTTTAAAACTTTAATTCTTCTTTTCATTCATTTCAATGCATTCTGGTTTTCTTTTCATTTGTATTTCATTGATTATCCAGTGGTGTAGCTCCAATACTTTTTCCCTGAACATGCCTTAAGTGTGCTTCCTGTTGTCCTTTGTGTCAGAGCAGCTCTAAGACTGCTTTGAACCCTTGACCAACTATGTAGAGGGAGAAAAAAAGAAGCTAAACAACCAAGCACATTTTCAAAATTTCATAAAAGGCTTAACCCTGCACTGCTTTAACTACTCAGTGGTTACCCCACCCAAATGCATCCTAACCAGACGGGTTTTGAAGGGTTTCAGCGGCGATGAGTAGCCTTGACATTTTAAGGAGGAACTGAAGGACAAATGTCGGCTGATTCTGGGAGACAAAGAGCACCAGCTGAAAAGTCCTGCTCTACTAGAAACGGCTCGGTGAGAATGACCACTGTGTCAGAATGACAGAAGGCTACCTCCCACACTGAGTCATCTTCTCTCAGCTTGTAACGGTTAAAATTGTCAGATAAAGGAGCTTTAAAAAAAAAAAAAAACTCCATGAAGGCCACTTTTTAAGAAAAGTTGAGATCAGTTCTCAACCTCATGAGAAAAACAACTCTCAGATCGCCTGTAATGATCAGTGTCAAAACCAAATTACACCGAGGACACAGCACAAGCAGAGAATAGCCGATTTCCAAAGATGTCATTATTGAGGCAATGCAGGATTAAAGTTTGTATGTTAAATCGTATCATTGGCTTTGAAATAAAGCAATCTAAGACAAATGTTTTTATCACATGCAGCTGTAGAAAATAGGGTTTTAGTATGCTGCAAAAAAAAAGCAGCATGCTGCATGTAGAAGAAAGCAATGCCTTTATGACACTTAAAAACAAGCAGAAATAATGCAGAGTAGTTTAAATCATTCATTGTGATGTGTTGTGTTTGTCCATTGATCACATCACAGCTCGTAGCTCATGTAGTAGCATCCACATGGACCAGATGTGTTCACGGTAAAATGCAGGCTATTCACTTTTAAATACAAAGACGACTTTCTGCCTTCACTGAGGCGCCGAAGAAGGCCAGTCTTCCATCTCATCAGCACTTTGGAATATAACAAAATATTATAAAAACTATAAATTCATAAACATTCAGTTTCATATTTGAAAAGAATCCAGGGGGTACAAGGTTTTGTTCATAATTGACGGCCACAGGAGACCCACATTAATGTACAGGGGAAATTAAACTATGGAGACAAACTATATATACATATTGATTTCATATTTATTTTTTTATCAAGTGCTTTCTTTGTTTTGTGTGCCAGCAGCAGGCTTTAATTTTGATTATGTAATGCACCTGTTTTGGAAATAAAAACACTGCCAAACCTAATAAACAGTATGACTCAATTTGTTAAATAACAAACGTGCCAAGTACTAAGACAATCTGTTTTTCACAGACCAACAATGTCAGATGGGTGGGTAAAATGCAGATTGTTAGACTGTTAATCACTGATTCATTATCATGTCTGAAGTGTTAGGAGCTCAGTCTTGGTAAGTTCAAATATGTTTCACGCACTGGTGTGCATTTGGAGGCATAAAGACAGAGCTCTAGTCAAATACCTAAACACTGTAAAGCTCTTTAAATGAATTTTTTTTGGTAATGTTGGCCTTCACTGAGGGATGAGTTAAGAGGCTCGTGTTAGCGGTTGTGTGGGTGTAAACTGTGTCACCGACATCCAGAAAATCACAGCATCAACAGGCGAGCAACAGGATTCACTACCTCTGATGCTGCTACCTGTGAAATACCCATCCAGGTGATATAACCAGCTCACTCAAACTAGACAAAAGCCAATTATTAGATTCAGAAATTGTTTGAAGCAGAAAACAAAACTTTATGGAGAATGTAGGATGACACACATTTAAGGACTGCGATATTCTGTAGTTTTGGGGTGATGAAATTTTACCTTTTTCCATTTAACTTCATGATAAGATAGCATTGTTTTTTTCCAAACCTTTTCAGGCCCTTTAATCCACACATCACAAACTGTTTTCTTCTTCTTCTCGGTCATTTAAAAAAAACAAAAAAAAGGTCAAGATCCAAATATTTAAATTTCAAACATCCAAGTGAAGTACAAACATTTGAGCCTCCCTGCGATATTGTTCGATAGCATCACAGATACAGTTGAAACTGGAAGTTTATGTATAAAAAGACATTAAACCTTTTTTTTTTTCCCCTCACTGACACTAAATTACACTAAAGTTTTTCTCTTTTAGGTCAGTCAGGATTGCCAAATTTTGCTTAATGCCAGAATAATGAGAGAGAGAGTGAATTTGTTTGAGAACTTTTTATTACGTTCTTCAAAGTCAGAAGTTTACATACACTAAGATTACCATGCCTACAAACTATTTAGGAAAGCCCAGATGATGATGTCATGGATAGGTTAATTGACATTTGAGTTAATTGGAGACACACCTGTGGATGTGTTTTAAGGCACACCTCAAACACGTTGCTTCCTTTTGTGACAACATGGAAAATCTAAAGAAACCAGCCAAGATGCCAGGAAGAGAATCATGGACCTCCACAAGTCTGGTTTGCAGATGCCTGAAGATTCCACATTCATCTGTTCAAACAATTATATGCGAGTATAAACACCATGGGAATGTCCAGCCATCATAGCGCTCGGGAAGGAGATGGATTCTGTGTCCCAGAGATGAAGTGTTTTGGTGCAAAATCTGCGTATCAACCCCAGAACAAAAGCAAAAGACCTTGTGAAGATGCTGCTGAAGCTGGTTAGAGAGTCATTATCTACACTGAAACCAGTCCTGTATCGACATGGGCTGAAAGGCTACTCAGAGAGGAAGAAATCATTGCTCCCAAAGCAACATAAAAAAAAAAGCCAGATTAAAGTTTGCAAATGCACACAGGGACAAAGACCTTAATTTTTGGAGAAAATGTGCTGTGGTGAGATGAAACTAAAACTGAACTGTTTGGCCATAATGACCATCGTTGCATTTGGAGGAAAAAGGAGGAAACTTGTAAGCCTGAGAACACCATCCCAACTGTGAAGTACGGGGGTGGTAGCATCATGTTGTGGGGGTGTTTTGCTGCAGGAGGGACCGGTGCGCTTCACAAAATAGATGGCAAATATTAAAGCAACATCTCAAGACATCAGCCAGGAAGTTAAAGCTTGGGTACAAATGGGTCTTCCGAATGGACAATGACCCTAAGCATACCACCAAATTAGTTACAAAGAGGCTTCAGGACAACAAAGTCAGTGTTGTGGAGTGGTCATCACAAAGCCCTGATCTCAATCCTGGAGAAAATCTGTGGGCAGAGCTGAAAAGACGTGTGGAGCAAGGCGGTTTAAAAACCTGACTCAGTTCCACCAGTTCTGTCAGGAGGGATGGGCCAGAATTCATCAGACTATTGTGAGAAGCTTGTGTAAGGAAACCCAAAACATTTGACCCAAGTCACACAGTCTAAATACTACCAATACTAAGGAAATGTATGGAAACTTCTGACTTTGAAGAAAGTCGTAAAACATTCTCTCTTTCATTATTCTGGCGTTTAGCAAATAGAAATAATTTTGGGAATCCTAACTGACCTAAAACAGGAAAACTTTAGTCTGATTCAATGTCAGACAGTGGAAAAAGAAAAAAAAGGTTTTATGTCTTTTTATACAGTGTATGTAAACTTCTGGTTTCAACTGTATATCAATAATGGTGTGTGTTTTATCCGATAGGCACTTATGTGTTGTGTTTTTTTATTTTTTTTCTAGAGCATAATGCAGAAAAAGATGGGGTAATTAAGGAATCAGATAGTTTGTGCAACAGAGCGGCTCCCACTGTGTTTATAAAACAGGGTCTGCAGCACATGTAGCAGAGAACAGGTCACAGCTGAGCAGAATGATAGCTTGATAGCTAGTTTATGAAAACAAAATTGCTGAATAGTGTGTGACCCAAGTCCAAGTACAAATCTAAGATACAGCCTGTCAATATATTGATATTGTAATTTTTTTTACTCCCTAAAAAATTGGTATGCAACCTCACAAACTGAGTAAAATGTTCTGAGATTAATGTAGAAGTATTCAGGGTGAATCAGGATTGCAAAGGAATTCCCATTTTGTTACATTTGTGCATTAATGAACAGTGAAATTTCCAAACTTTCATCTTAGCTCTCACTGGTAAATCCTGCTTTTTAAAAAAAACAAACAAAAAAAACCCCTCAACCCTAACCCAAGTCCCCTCAAAAATAAAATGTATGGTCTTTTCACATATTAATTTGGAGTTAAAATGACTGATCATCACATTTGCACTCAGTCTGTGTGCTTCTTGTGAGAAGCCTGCATGTCTCGTGCTTTTATTAACAGGTTTTAGAATCTTAACGGACTCTGAAGAGCCCATAAAAACACAATAAAATAATATATAACTTGCTGAGGCAACATCTAGGTCAACCGATTAACAACAGCGCAAGAAAAAAAAGGAGCAGTCTTTTCATTTTTATTTTACAAGACATAAATAGGGAACACTGTGACTGTGCTTCGGGGAAACCGGCGTATAAATCAGCGGCGAGTTGATTTAAAATAAGAAAAATAAAAAGTGATCCTGCTGTAAAACATAGTGTGAGCTTTGCTTTGTGGCTGAAGTTTGCTATTAAATTCCACAAATGAATCACTCAGCGTCTTGTTTGTGTGTCTCTGGGGGAAAGTGCGATGTTAGTTGGACACAAAGCCTGAACCCTTTTCCTGAATTAGTCAAACCGGAGCGGAGCGCCTCTGACTCGCAGTTTAGGAGGAGTTTGTGACTCCTGTTGCTCTCCTAGGACCTTTACCGAAACGCTTTTTTCACTACGTGAGAGTTGCGCTGAGCAGTAGCTGACAATTACTGGGACCTGTGGAGACTGTACTCGTGCAAAGTCCGGTCTCCTGTCCAAGTAAACACTTTCTGGGAAATGAGCCAAACTAACCGACAGTTATCCTGTAGCAGAAATTGGCCAGGGGGTAAGAAAATAAAGACAGACGACGGTGTGAGCGCTCCCACTATGGCGCTACAAACTGAGGAAAGTCAGGTTTATTTCTCCAAAAATCCAACTGGAAGTGGAGCCGAGAGGCTTGCGGATAATGCGGTCGCTTACGGATCCGGACGCATTAATCCGCAAACCTGTGACATGGAGAAACAGTGTTGTCAAACAGCTGCTGCCCCTCAGGAGGAGTTGTTGAGCGCAGACGGCCGTGTGGGCGACAGTCGCTCCTTTTCTGCCTGCGCCACAATCTCAGAGACAGCCAGGGAGCTCTGCAAAGCCGTGTCCGTGTCGCTGGGTCTGGCCATGGAGCCCGGTGACACCAGCGACGTGGATTCCGCTCTCCAGCCGTGCGCCAGCGCCGACCAAATGCGCGGAGAGTATTTATTCGGAGTGGAAACGGCGCCTCTGAGCTGCCCCAGAGCCCAGGCTGAGTTCACTTGTCCCGACCGAGACGAGCGGCCCCTGCATGGCCAGAAGCAGCTGGTGAAAATGTACAAAAGTTCCGAGACCGCTGCGCCTTTCCACCACCTCGCCTCCACTCGGACATCTGCGCAAAACTTCCCCCTGTGCGAGGCTGATGACATAACTTCAAAAGAGATAGATCATCTGGACACAACTCGCGCTGCCTCTTGCCCTTATGCCCCAAACGCGCCAGACAACTTGGCACACTTCGGCCATGCGGCTGCGGAGAGGCCGTGCCAAGCCTACAACCCGCCCGACAAAGCGAGAGACTTCGGGGATGCTGCGGAGGACAAGTGCAGCGGCTACCAGCTGGAGCAGTACGGCGTCAAAGTCAAGTGTGAGGATGGTGACTGTGCGGGGCCGTTGTGGGGCAGCAACTACACCTTCAATGAGAGGTACAACTCACAGTTTTGGGGTGCGAGGCAGTGTGTGAGTGCGCACGGCACAGGCGCGAACCCAGCGTTCGTATGTAATCCATACGAACGCAGCGTCATGCGTCCTGACCAGTGGTACCCAGGCGGGATGCTGAGGCCGTCTTATCCCAACTCCAACTACATGAAAAGTGCAGTCGGCGAGTGGCTGGATGTCGCCTACAACGACAACAGGTGAGCTATTATATGATGGTAACTACATTTATCCTAAATCACTTTTTAAATTTTTTTTTTTTAAGTAAAATAATACCCAGGAAACCCAAAATAGTGAGTTTGTTCTCACTTCTAGAAGAAATATAAAATGAGAAAATACAACATGAGCCTAATTAAAAGTGTAGAACTTAAATCTGACACAGCTTGACCTTAATGTGGCCTCAGACATAAGTGTTGAAGGTCCGTCATCTTCCAAAGAGCTGTTTCTGGCCACATGCAGCAAGACTGACAATCCAAAAAGCAAACATAACAACAAAATGAACATCAACACAAGAATACACACATTAAATCTTTGCATGCTTGTTGTTTCTGTGCTGCAGACGGTTGTTTGTCCCCTTGATTATTTTTTGTAGTAGCACCGGACACATTCACTGTATTAATCATAACATTTCTTATTTTTCCCCAATAAAAAGCCAAATGGCAAACTGAAGGAGTCATTTAAAAAATATCACATTTTCCCTGCATACAAGACAAAATGTGTATTTCAATTCTTTACCAGGCTACTTTCTAAACATCAGACAGAGATTGTAGTGCATTTTCAAAAATAAAAAATAAAATAAAATGTAGGAATACATTTGGCTGATTCATATCTTTGGCATTTCAGATGCTAATGCAACCCAGAGTTAAGTATTTTTTATTTATTTATTTCAAATCCTTAAATCATTTATGAATGTCAAGACTGAAAAGAAAAGAACAAAGGAACACATGCCAGTTTGTTGCTGCTATATAAACTTATAAAACTCTCATCATTGTGTTGGTTTTGTCTTCCATTTTGTTTGTTTTGCATCCAGCAGCAAACAAAACAAATGATTTTGTTAAGGATTTGCTTATGATCACAATATTTGAATAGATAATGTGTGATTCTATTATTCAATAAATTATTCTGCAAGACAATGAATGAAAAACCTATGAGTGAAAATTATTATTTGTCTTCTAATAATAACCAGAGTTTTAATTCCAAGATGGAATGAAACTACAGCAAAGAGGAAGTGAGTCTAAATAGTTCTGAAAGTTTTGTTTTTTGTGATGTAATGATTTGTAAGTGATCCCAAAGATTTCATGGTTTTTCATTTTTTGTGTCTGTTGGTTTCTTGAAATGACTTCACACAATTTAACTTGTGTCTGGCCGCGAGGGGACACGGCGTGAACATGTTGACTGACAGCTGTGGTTATCGTGCGTACATCAGGCGAAGCTTTTCTCTAACTACCTGTGAGATTACTGAAGTGAATGATTGAGGGCACTGCCTGGCACCGGTGTCTCTGGCTGTAAGAGTTCAGTACACTTAGAACCTGCATAACTGCGTATGAGCTGTATAGTGGGCTGCTTTTACAGTGATTTGCCTTTTATTGAATATTTTGACTGTCAGGAGAAAACACTGGAACAACCGATCGGTGACAGATAGCTCCAGCCTGACCTCAGACTGGAGTTCAGCGAGCTTATGTGATGTGTACTTTAGACTACTGGGTCAATAGGATGTCCCCAAGACATTGCTCAAGTCCAGAAACCTGTTCCAAGAATCAGGTTTTACTAGATGCACCTAGAATATCATTATAATTGAGCAATTATGTGTATTTAAATGTAATACAGCTGTTTTCATGGTGTGTTGTTTTTCAGTCAGTGATAGCTCATCTCTAAAACGGAGCACTGTGCTGCGTTATCCTGCAGTAAAGACAGCCACGTGTTTGAAGGGGAAATGAATGGAACCTGTTTGGATGTTAAAAAAATAATAATAAATAAATAAATAAATAAATGGACACAATGGAAAAAAAAAAGTTAAAATATATCAACAACACAACCCCACTGTAAACACACTGAGTCTTTGTTTAGCAATTGCAGGAATGATCTGCAGCTAATTTATCACAAGCTGATCTCGGCTCAACTGTTTTCTGTTACTAAACTGCATTGTGGCTGCTCCCGAGTTAACTGAAAGAATCTGTGACTGTGTTGTTCACAGAGGAAAAAAACAAATGTGGCTCAGGAGACTGACACATGCAGTCAAGTGTTGCAGTTTGATCTCATGTAAGCATGTTGAACACCTGTGTGGTTCACTTTGCTTTTAAAGATGCGTGTATTCTGCATGTTTTTGGCCCTGCGTGGCAGTTAACTGGCACAGCTGACCGAGGAGCCACAGCAGGACAGTTGAACTCAAAATAAATGCAGATGGGTCTGCAAAACTGGTCTGTCCACTTTAGGCCTGCTTTGCCTTCAGGATGAAACCATGTTAACTGTGTTTTCTGTCCCCCATAGTTAAAAAAAAAAAAAACATTAAACATAGTTTAACATTAGCCAGTGATGATGTTTATCTTTAGCAATCGACCAGATCTGAAGAAATTTATGAGGACTGTACCAAAGAGCGAAAAGTGGCTCGAATCTGGACTTTGTTTCATCTGTGTGTGTGTGTGAAGCAAATATGCGGACATGCAAAAAAAGTAGTCGGTGATTTTATTGGTACGCTTACAGTACTCCGGATCTGTCCGCAATCAGACCAGAAATGCATCGTGCTTGACCCTCTACGTCAAGGAGAAAGTGCATGCAGTGACCTCACAGTGCATGAGTGAAAACAGATGTTTACTAAGCTGTTTAGTCCAAGCATACAGTCCTGTATACACAACATGAGAGAGATATATTTCAATCAAACAAGCTGAAGCAGGTTTGTGCAAAAAAAAAAAAAAATGCAGGTCACTGAAATGCAGCTGGTCAGCAAACGTGGAATTGGCTCACGCAGCGTCATAGAAAATATCGTGAATGCAACACAGCACACTAAACACACAGAGGTGGGAGTAGTCCTAATAATCTCCTGCATGAATCAAACAGGACTGTGAATGGACAGGGGCTTTAATGAGATTTTTTTTCTTGGCTTTATAGCTAGAAAACACCAGAAGACTCCAGACTATTTTTTTTTTTTTTCTTTTAAATTCAAAAATTGTCCAGATGTTTGGCACAAGGTGGTTCAGTAGCAGTGTGATGTGGATCGGGTCAGTGGACATATTTGTTTCTTGTGCAAGTCATGTATTTATATTTTTTGCTGTAAAATAAATCCTGTTTTTAAAAAAAAACCAAAACCTGAATAGGATCACACCTTTTATCAAAACTCTTTACACAAATCAGCTGCTGTGCCACACAATAATCAGTATTCAAGCCTGTGTGTCAAAAAAAAAAAGTCATTTAACAACACAATGTGAAAAGTAAGAATGAATGTCTGTATTTTTAAACTCTGCCTGAGAATCGGTTCATTAGATAACATCCAAACTATATTTAGTCTGACACCGTCTATAACTGAAAAGCTGCTTGCTTGTAAATGGAGAAACTTTCTGATCACAGGATGGTTTCGTCTCAAACACTCCACACTAAAGCGCCACGCTTAGCGAGCTGTTATCGGGCACCGTGTAACCGGGAATGAAACCACAACAACACACACTGAAAGTTACAATTTCTAGTTGGAAATCTTGCGTGTTTGTATGTTTTTCATTTTTCGCTGTTTGGAACAAGTTACTTTTATGAGACTTCCTGATTAAATATCGACTCCCATTTTGATTAACGTCTTCTAAAGATAGGTGCCTATGTTTTGTTGCGGTGTGCCACATCCTCTCACAAAAACTGTTGTTGATGATTCCCAAATACTTAAAGATAACACTGTGCACCTTTACGTTCTACACAATGAGTCACAAACGGTGCGCTCCCTTGGGCTTCATCATTCAACGATAATTAACTGAGTCGCCTCGTAAAAAGAAACGACAGGTCGTTAAAAAAAAACTTGTTTTACGACCTTTGTTTTGTCAATGTGGCCTGTAAACATGTCTAGCAATCTCGCTTTCAAATGCAAGATTTATTGAGGTGTGCGTCAGCCTAGATAACTATTATAATGTGTTTACGTCTGGCGAGGGGCTGCAGCCATAAGTTGTGAAGGGGTCAGTGTGTACAGTTAGCTATACTGTTACTGTGTCTGTTACAGTGGAGGCTGTTAGCAGGTGTCATGTGGCCTCAGAATGCTGGCATAAGGATCCGGGCGTGCACAGGGGCTGCATGAGATTTTTCTGTTGCTTTTTATCACCTCGATTCTCATTGTTTAAGCTTCCCTTCTCGTTTCTCACAGCCTGTCTGGACTTTAGACAAAAAATTCACATCAAATTTAAAACTGTGAACACCGGAAGTTTTACCTAAAATGAGAAACGGCTGCTTCTCATAAGAAAGCTCACTGAATTAAAGTAAAACAGCCTCCTTATAGAGTCGTACGGAGGAGGAAATCGCTCCGGACGCAGTGGAGGCTCTTCGCTTCGGCTTCATCCTTGTCTCTTTTACTCCAAACCTTGATATCTTAAGTTGCGCGTCACCGGGGCAGCGTTATGTCTGAGTCTTCTCCAATCTCTCTGTGTTCAAGGCTAGCAGCTAAACCCAACCTACCCCACCCTCCCTTCACTCCCCCTCTGGCCTCAGAGCCGGCGCTTCAGTCTTTCCCACACCATCATCAAGTCATCACACTCTGCCCTCCTTAAATAACCCACAGAGACACTTAAGCACGTCTCAGGAGAATGAATAGTAACCACTTTGTTGGTGGGACAGTTCAGATGTATGAGCACAAGGTTAGACTTCATTCGTCCCCATTTCGCTTTTACAAGATAATAAGATAATAATACAAAATGTTAAAAACAAGGTAAAATGTGTAATGAATAATAAAATACTGTGTGAGGGTATATCAGAGCTAAAGCAAATGTCAGTCACCAATGAGTGCCTGCATGGTTACTGTTAAATGCTTCATACAAGTCGTGTTTTGTATGTTTGACAGCAGGTTCGAGGCCGGCAGAGAGCACGTGTTCCCCATGGAGTTCTTCTTCCCCCCACAGAGGACGTGTCTGATCTGTTCCGACGAGGCATCTGGCTGCCATTACGGCGCACTCACCTGCGGCAGCTGCAAAGTTTTCTTCAAAAGAGCTGCAGAAGGTAAAGCCAAAGCGGTCCAGCTCAGGATTCTGGTGTCCGCCACTTTGAGCACCTCGCTGTCTGCTCTGTTACCACTTCATTTACAGCCTGCTTTCCTCTTTCTGCTTTTAATGATGCCAATTTTCAGCAGGTAAACCGGTTTCCTTCGGTTTTCAGTTTGAGAGATGTGTACAGTATTTTACACTTTCACTTACTTGTGCTTTCTCTGTTTCCTGTGCAGGCAAACAGAAATACCTGTGCGCTAGCAAAAATGACTGCACCATCGATAAGCTGAGGAGGAAGAATTGCCCCTCGTGCCGGCTGAAGAAGTGCTTTGAAGCTGGGATGACTCTCGGAGGTGGGATGGATTCACGTACTGAAATCTATTATTGATAGCTTTGATTAACTTGATGCTGCCATTTATGATAGCAGTACTAATCACTGACTGTTTTATTGTAAATACATGATAGCGTCAGTCACATTTCACTTCAGATAAAGGTGTGTACAGTGCAAGAGTGCATATATATCCATACTGAGTGTTTATATGTGTATATATAGGAGGAATGGAGGTCTTTTTGTTTGTTTTAACAGTGACATGTTAATATTAATGACCTACAAAAGCCATTGTAGGTTTGTTTGAAACTCCAAAACCTGCCTGTGTGGGTTGTAAAAGACGATTTTTCAGGTTCAAAATGCACGTAACTGCAGCTGTTGTTTTGGATGAGTTGGTACATTTCACTGACAAGAGGAGATGCTGAGGATGTATATATACACTCAGTATGGACTACAGTAAATACTGTGCACCACACATTAAATGAACAAAGCACACTACAGAGAAAGTAAAGTCCTAAAAGTGAAACTATTAATGGTTTCCCAAGACCAAGTACTTTATTCTCTCTACACTGCACATCTTAGCTGGCTCTCTTCAATTGCAGCATCATCACAATAGGGGATGTTACTGATAATCAAGCCCCTGACTGAGCTGCCATGCAATTTAGACCTCTTCCATTCACTTCTCCTTACTGTCACCCAGACCTGCTCGTCATATTAGGCTGTAAAGATTGACATGTAGTGGACTAATTTTAGTCTTGTGTTCAATTTTCACTCTCTTCCATTTTCTCATTCTGTTAACGGTGAAAATTGTACTGGAAGCACAAAGCTGACATGAGACATGTGAATTAAAGCAGCAGACATGCTGGTAATTTTGCCACCAGTCACTGACAAACCCATGGAGGGAAAATGTGATCTAATGCTGTGATTGTAGTAAAAAGGCACACCTTTTCTAGTTGTGGCTTAAAAGATCCTTTCACTTATGTTCTCATCATAGACATGTAATTCACTCCCGGCATTTCACTGGGAAATTTGTGGCAATAATTTGTTGAAGTGGAAGCAGAAAAATTATACATTTCGTCTTATTATCCTGGAGTTTTTTTTCTTATTCAAGCTGCTTTAAAGTCAAATCATAGAATCCTTAAAGAAAGGGAGAGTTGTAATTTGACCCCAATGATTTAGATTCATTAAATGACCAAATATCCCTGAATTATATTGCAATCACAGATCATATCAATTACATGTGTTATTTGTTTTACTCCTTCTCGTTTGGGAGGGCTGAAGAGAAGCAGTGAAATCTCTAAATGATGCTTTCGCTGTATTAGGAGTCTGCTCAAAACTGAATCCCAGTCCTAGGTCGAAGGGTTTGTTTTTTTATAATTTGAATTCCGTACTATTTCTGCAATGTTAATTACACCCGCAAATGGAGCACGGAATTTACTTTTGCCAAACCATGATAGCAGTTTTGTTGTACCACAACCTGGAGGAACTTCACTGCACATCTGCCGCCTTCGCTTCTTGTGTTGCAGTGAAACTTGCATTTCGTATCATACTGAAGATCATATCATACAAAAAGCTTTTATAGCTGCAGACTTCCTTGGACCTGACTTCCTTTTCACAATCAGCAAGGGAGAGTTGAACTTAAATTGATAATTGACACTTTTTCTTACAGTTCCTTAATGCAACTAAGGCAGTGCAGAGGTTATAGGACTATCCTGTAAAGGCCAATGCCAGATGAATCATAAAAATTACATGTGTTTGGTAATTATGTTTCATGCCTCGCTGAAATTGCTTTGAAGGAAGTTTTTTTTTTTTTTTTTTCTTTGCTGTGCATGTTAGTGGATAATTTAGTTTTGGGTGTGTACTCAAGGGATTAGCAGGCTTTATCCGCAGACAGGTAATACTAGTTACCTTAATTGCAGGGCAGAGTTCTCATATGATTGTTTGCGGATTAATTCTGTGACACAAATCTTTACACATCAAGGTAGCCACCAACACTAAATTTACTAGTTCTACATCGAGTTAAACATGTGCTGCAGAATCCGAAAATTCAGTTGGACAGAAACTCTGGCAACTTGAAAAAGTAACATGATAACAATAACATGGTAACTCAATAATGACGTCCTACTGCAGTGAGTTCTTGCCCTCTGGAGAAGTATTTAGCATTACAGCCCAGTCTTAATGAAAGTACTAGAGGTACTGCAGGTTATGATAAGGTAATATATTGTTATTGTAACCCCAAAAAGAGGTGTAAAATAGAGCAAGATGGCAAACGATGATGAGTTTCTTGATTAACCATCCATCCATTATCTATACACCGCTTAATCCTCACTAGGGTCATGGGGGGCTGGAGTCTATCCCAGCTGACTCAAGGTGAAGGCAGGGGACACCCTGGACAGGTCACCAGTCTATCACAGGGCTACACTTAGAGACAGACAACCAAGCACACTCACATTCACACCTACGGACAATTTAGAATCACCAATTAACCTCAACATGTTTTTGGACTGTGTGAGGAAGCCGGAGAACCCGGAGAGAACCCATGCTGCACGGGGAGAAGATCCCGGTGCCCCCACCGGGTCGCGAACCGGCAACCTTCTTGCTGCGAGGCAACATTGCTAACCAACTGCGCCACTGTATCTATATATAAGATGAGTGTAGCACCAACGTCTGAAATGTGACGCCAACACAGAAGTGCTCCAAGCCTGCTTTCCCTCTAATAACCAGCAGTGGGCGACTCACCTGGTCGCAATAACAAAAAAAAAAAAAAGCCAGATTGTGTAGAAGTCTATATGATGATAACTCTGCTTCTCACTTGATCTGTTAGCTCGATAAACATTTTCCAAATGTGTTTCTAATCTCAACGGCAAGTTTCCAGACTTTTTAAAAATGTAGCATAATGGTCATTTAGTAAACTATGGTCCCGCTTAGAGCAAAATAGACAATAAAGCAGGGCATATTGCAGGGCTACCTCGTGATTGACAGGACGCCATCATGTCACTCCACCAATTTGCTTGTTATGTTCAGTTTGAAAAGACCAAAATGGCGACTGCCAAATGGCAAACTTCTGGGTAGTCCACAAACAAATGTTGCTACATGAATCTTTTATGTACAGTCTACGGTCTGAATGCTAGAAAAAGCTAAAACTGCCACTTACAAGGTGTGTCAGAAAAGCTCCAAGGCTGCTGTCACAAAAAATATATTTCAAACCCAAACTACGAGTTTATGATCAACCAGGACGTCTACAAAGAGATCCTGCGGCGTTTGCTTCATTCAGTGTGCGAGAAGAGGCGAGAGTTGGACAAGTCGTGGCGGCTTCACCATGACAATGCGCCTGCTCACAATGCCCTGAGAAGAACATCGCCGTGCTGGAGCAACCTCCCTACTCACCCCACTTGGCTCCGTGGGATTTGTTTCCTCTTCCCCAAGCTCAAGGGGGTCATCAAGGGGACCCGTTTTGAAGACATCGACGACATTAAGATGGCTGTGACGACGGAGAGAAGAGAAGGCTGGGAAAGTGTGTTAGACTCCAGGGGGATTTCTTCGAAAGGGAAAACTTGTAGTTTCTAGTTTGGATTTGAAATATGTCTTTTGTGACACCAGTCCTGAAATTTTTCTGACACACCTCGTATACTGTTTATTAGAGTCCAAGGAAACATCTTATTTTGTCCAATGATGAATCAAAAGCTCAAAGAAAATCTGTTTACAGTAATACCAAATCCTTTAGGAAATATTAAAGACATGTTTCGATGCAGGAAAGAGTAATACCGTTTCTGTTACGAGGCAACATTAGTGTCATATTGTAACTACCAGCTTCCTCTGTGAAGAATTAATGTCAACCTTCAAATATTAGAATTCCTCACAGAAAAACACATACAGTAAAAAAAAAACAAAAAAAACAAGTGCATATTTTACAAAACAGGACAGTAGTTGAAGAGCCAATACGCACGGCAATGGAGCTCGGCACCAGCATGTTTTGCATTTTCAAGCTCTTACTTGTCATTTTGACAGAGAAACTACACACGTGTTGCCAAGTAAATGTTCTGGCCTTTGATGTGCAGCTTAAAGTCATTGACCTAAAGCATTCAACCACAGGATTAGAAGAAAGGATAATGGCTTGCATCCACCCTTGAAATATTGACATTTCCCCTAAAACTTTTATGTAAATGCAAATTTGACACCATCCCATTATTATCTAGAAAATTACCTAAATGTAACCCGATTCATTTGAGAACAATAATCTTCTGGTACCTTATTATCACCAAATTATGTTTAAAGTTTAGCCAATTAACCTGATATGTTCATCCACATAGTGATGTTTTTGTGGTATTATAAGAACATAAAACTAAGCTCTTACACCATTACGTGTTAATATAACCTCATTATTGTCTATTTATGGTAAAGTGGGAGTATGTTGTTGATTACTACTCGTACTTCATTCAGTATTTCCCTTCTTTTGTGAGTGTTTCTCTGGTTTTTATCTGATACTAAGTAATGGGAGGTTGTAAGCGGCAGGCGATTTTTATCAGACCTCTCGCGCTTCTTTCTCTTTGTGTCACGCCGCTCCAGCCTACCCTTCCAGAAACACAATTTACATCGGTGAAATAATGATGTAATGACATCTACAACCTGGACACCAAAGTGAGAGTAAAGTGGGATCTGCGAAATCTCACATTTACACAGAGGCATTTTCAGAGAAGGAAAAGGTGTTAAACTGACCTTTGTGTTATTTTTTTATTTTATTTTTTTATGCAATCAAGCAGCCTAAAAAGACAGATATGATAAAGATGGTGATTATAATGACAATGAGACTGGTAACAGGCTCAGAAGCAAGTGAACCAAAAATGCGAGCCCACTGAGCAGAAAATGGGCGATAAATTCCACATGTGCAATTTGATTTGAGGGAAAATGGGTTTGTAATGGATAAGTCTGCAGCTTATTCCCTGGAGGTCAGTTTTAGCTGGAAACAGAAACGAGCGCCGAAGCTCAGCCACCTGGCCAACCAGTGCCAACTCTTCATCCTGACAGTTAACAACATCCTCACTAATTGTTGCATTCCTAGACTAAATCTGCGAGTGTCACAGAGACTCTTGCATGGAATCCACCTTTTGGGCGTCTGTGTATTTATATTGGCTTCAGCTCAAGTATGGAGATGTTAAGGTTAGTTCAACCCAACCTATTTACACTGTACTCTGTAAAGATCAGATGCCTGCCTGTTTCACAGTTGAGAATCCCAGGGAAGATTTTTTAATTAACCAGTTTTGCTTGAAATATTTGTCATCGGATCAGGAGTGGAAATGTGAGACTTACAAATTATCTTATATAATCTGCAATTTTCTTTCAACCCCGCTACTTTTGAGAGAGACTTAAGTCGTGTCTAAAACTGGCAAGTCAATATTTATCAAACTGAACCGAAGAGCGAGGCTACGGTTTTAATGAGACACCCTCGACACAGAAGCAGCAAGAAGCAATCGCACGACAATTAACAGTTACTTTTTACTGTCAGTCAACACTGATAAAAATGGATTGAATGTTGCCCCATACTTCAGTTCTTGCCGTGTTTTGTCTTTCTTCATAGTACTCCTCCAGGTTTAATTGTATTTAGATATCAATTACATTATTAAGTTAATGATCTTCGTTGCCCTTTGAAAGAACTTTCTGTTCTTCGGTGCTCTCGTAAAATCATGGGTATTCTGCTGTCACTCACTCCATCACAGCTGTCAGTCTGAAATAACAGGCTGAGCTGACTGTTGACAGCTCTAATGGCTGTGGAAGAAACCAGTCAGTGATTTGAGTGTGGTGAAAAACCTGTCTGTTAAAGAGCCAACTGTATGTGGCAGCTGTTTAACAGAATATAATCTTTCTATTACGATTGCAGTACTGATTACATGGCGGTCTACTTTACCAAATCAAGGATCGTGGTCCAATTTAGTGTGTAAGTGCAGGCTGCCATATGGAGCAGCTGCTCCAGGATTTTCAGCATTTAAGGGAGAAGGAATTGCAGCTTTGTCACTGCTCGATTTGGGGATCCATTTTTAATATATTTTTTTTTTTACCATACATTATTTGTTGCTTTCAGTTTTGTCCTCTGAATCCTTACATACTTGCAGCACATGAAGAAACACAAATTTAAAGCAAATATGCACAATTTACCGAGTTGTATTATCCCAGGATATCTTGTTAGAACCCTTCAGAGGCAAAAGAGAAAAAAAAAAAATCATTTAAGCTTTCACATCACCAGTAAGGACTCGCACATGATGACGATAGGCCTTTCCATCAGATGAGGCTCATCTGCTCAGGGAGTTTTCCTTCAAATGAAATATGATTCAATATCTTCAAAGCTATTAGTAGATCTGTATTGAGTATTGTTGAGTAAAATTGATATTGCCCTTAAAAAGGTTACTTAAAATCCACAGTTGCAGTACGAGACATTGCTAACAGACGATTTGGAAAGTAGAATTGCATTAATTCTCAGCACAGTAGGTTCTGCTGATAGTTTCCCCTGATGTTCAGAGGACAGAACAGTTAATGTGCATGTGTTTTGATTGTCTTATTTAGGAATGGTGACCTGGTCAGATGTAATTTGTTGATTTGCTCAGTAGTCCATAATTCATATATACCAAGATGTATGTTTTTGTCTTTTCATTCTGAACCCCACAGTTAACTGGAATTGGACCGTCTGTGCAATAAAGAGTCTTAAAATAAAAATCCATTGATGTTGGGTTGTTACAGACACACCTCGTTTAGTCAACAACATCTTTTGGCTGCTTGTTCTCGTTAAAATACTGCGCAATTGAGTGTGCAAAAATACTATCTGACTGTGAAATCATTTAGTCTCGCCTGCGAAAACAGTTTGGCTGAGGATCACACATACCTGTTAAATAGTTGGGTGACACGTTGGTGCAAACAATAATTACCATCACTTCAATTGCCGACAGGTTTTTAATTCCTTGCTACTGTTTGCAGCACGCAAGCTAAAGAAGATTGGACAACACAAGAACCCAGAAGAGGATCACCCTGTGCAGGATTCAGCAGAGGTCATCCCGAACATCTCCCCTAAATCGGGTCTGAGCTTCAACTCCCAGCTGGTGTTCCTCAACATCCTGGAGTCCATTGAGCCCGAGGTGGTGAACGCCGGACACGACTGTGGACAACCAGACTCAGCCGCCACGCTGCTCACCAGCCTCAACGAGCTGGGAGAGAGACAACTGGTCAAAGTGGTCAAATGGGCCAAAGGATTGCCAGGTAGGACACCGGTTAAAGCAGACGTTTGTTCAGAATAGACAGATTTAGAAGCTACAGTATGTCACATTTCTGCAAATGTTTTATTGTATCTTTTCATGGGACAACACTGAAGAAATGACACTTTGCTACCATGTAAAGTAGTCAGTGTACAGCTTGTACATTAACTGTCCCCTCAAAATAACTCAGTACACAGTCATGAATGTCGAAACCACTGGCAACAAAAGTGAATACACCCCTAAGTGAAAATGTCCAAATTGGGCCCAAAGTGTCAATATTTTGTGTGGCCACCATTGTTTTCCAGCACTGCCTTAACCCTCTTGGGCATGGAGTTCACCAGAGCTTCACAGGTTGCCACTAGAATCCTATTCCACTCCTCCATGATGACATCACGGAGCTGGTGGATGTTTGAGACCTTATGCTCCTCCACCTTCCGTTTGAGGATGCCCCACAGATGCTCAGTAGGGTTTAGGTCTGGCGACATGCTTGGCCAGTCCATCATGTTCACCCTCAACTTCTTTAGCAAGGCAGTGGTTGTCCTGGAGGCGTGTTTGGGGTCGTTATCATGTGGGAATACTGCCCTGCGGCCCAGTTTCTGAAGGCAGGGGATTGCACTCTGCTTCAGGATGTCACAGTACATGTTGGCATTCATGGTTCCCTCAATGAACTGTAGCTTCCCAGTCCCACAGCACTCATGCAGCCCCGGACCATGACACTCCCCCCACCATGTTTGGTTGTAGGCAAGACACTCTTGTCTTTGTACTCCTCACCTGGTTTCTGCCACACACGCTCAACACCATCTGAACCATCTAAGTTTATCTTGGTCTCATTAGACCACAAGACATGGTCTCAGTAATCCATGTCCTTAGTCTGCTTGTCTTCAGCAAACTGTTTGCGGGCTTTCTTGTTAATCATCTTTAAAAGAGGCTTCCTTCTGGATGATAGCCATGTACACCAATTTGATGCAGTGTGGTGGTCTGAGCACTGACTTAGACATTCATGACTGTGTATTGAGTTATTTTGAGGGGACAATAGATCTACACTGTTCTACAAGCTGTACACTGACTGCTTTACATGGTAGCAAAGTGTCATTTCTTCAGTGTTGTCCCATGAGAAGATACAATGAAATATTTGCAGAAATGTGAAGGGTGTACTCACTTTTGTGACATACTTTAATTATGTAAGGGATGCTAATGCTTCAATGTCAAACATGCATTAAGTTACTTTGTGACCAGCTGGTGGCAGCAGAAACAAGTGGTGCACTTGCATATTATCACCTTTAGTGGTGAACTTGTTTCCTACTTCTTTACACATTCAGCAGACGTTGAGCAACATTTGCCTTCTTCTAAGGTTGTGAATGTTTACCTGATGGATGTGACGACTTTTATTCAGTTTCCTTTTTTCTCTGCTTTGCTCCCTCCAACTCCAGAGGGAAACGTCTGGTCTGGGTTTTTTTGGGGGGTTCACTTTGCACACCAGTTAGTGTGAGTTAGTCTGCATTGTGGATTAATGTGAGCGTTTTTAACTTTAAACAGCTGCCTGTTGTGTGACATTGATGACAGCAATGAGGGAGAATCTGACCAAAACAGCAAGCTAAAGAATGCCAATATGCTCCACAGAGAAACTGTGAGAAATTGCAGAGTGATGTGTTAATTTCTGTGGCTTTGTCACTACCAGTACCCCATCATATTTGTCTAACAATTTGATCAGTTTTTAAGATTTAAAAAAAATGACAGCAGCTTCAAATACTGTTAGGAGTCTGAACTTTTTTTTTTTTTTTTTCAAATAATGAATATGATTCCATCTCATACGTGCTTTCAAACCCGTAACACAGTGCAGTGAAACAGCTCTCTTACATTTTTGAGGTGCAACCTGTGTTTTTTTTTTCACTTTTGTCTGATAGGAAAAATGTGGCATGAGGAAAGAAGTGTCACTGTGCTCATAAACTGGGAAACGCAAACTAGAGGGGTTGCAGCACTACAGCCTGATGATTTCTCCTAAATTCTAAGTAGAAAATTTCTCCAGTTACAGGATATCACCCTTCTCCTCCAACCCATAATTAAATGGCTGGGGGAAAAAATTAGATGTCTTAATAATTTTGCAGCACAGCTAGATAATAATATATGGTATACTGTAACCATGAGGACCCTGAAATATGTGGTTCAGACATTTGTTGATACAGTTTTACAGCTGAACCCCATGGGACTTGAAAGTAATGATAAAAAGTTGGCAGTATTGTCCTTCTCTGAGCATGGCATCTGTGCTCAGCTTGAATCTATGTTACTGCGGTTTCTGAACATGGAGCCCCTTGAAATACAAAATCGTTGCCGGGTTTAAAAGGCATGTAATCTTTTAGAAAATGAACAGAAGAAGAGAAGGAATTGTTGGATGTTTAACTTGGTCTTTGAGCTAATCATCAGTGACATACCAGTCCAAGCTGAAAATGTTTATCAAACTCATTTTATTCTACATGTTGCATTTAAAAATCTGTCAAAAAATAAACCTTCTGCTTTAATCAGATCCTGTTAAAAATATATATATATATATGTTAATTAAATAAAAAAAAAAAAAAAGGACCAACAACCAACAGTCAAGTGATGAATATTCAGATACTTTTTGGCTGAACTTCTTTGACTGCAGGCTGTGCTTACAAAGAGCAGACAGGAGACAAATATGGTAAAAAATTAAAACTGTAAGTATTAAAATATCAAGAGTACCCATTTTTTCCAGTAACACTGGTATGCATTTTGTAAAAACCCTGCACATGTTGATTACATTTATTTTCCTCTAATTTTTATAAAATCGAATATCAAATATTTATTTATTTATGAATTTTAACTGTGTCACACTACACAGAGCACATAGCACAAACACAAAACACACTCTGCTCTTCTAGACATGATTGTGCTTTTTCCACAGAGATGAAGGGCTTTATGCTGTGAGTAAAAAATTTAACCAGAGCAGAAAGCTTTGGTTTTCAGAGTGTTAAGGAAGTGGATTAGTAACCAGAAGGTTGCTGATTACAGACTAGATACTGACATCCCCATTCTTGAGATTGGTCTTTCTGTATGATTCCTGAAAAGAAAAACTTAACCAAAGTTACACATTTAGATTGCTTATTTCTTTGTCCATTCTATCCGAAGGTAGAGGGAAAAGTAAATTTAATTATATAGTACATTTCATACATAAAGGTAACGCAAAGTACTTCACATAGTGCATTGAAATGTGTAAAATAGAAAAACATGCAGCATTCAGGTTAACATGAAAAGGACAGAAAAGGTAAAAGATTTACAAGAATAAAATGGTCAGAAAATGGTAACTTTGATAACAGTGCAGACAAGTTTCATTTATAGAATAGAGCACAGTTTGGCATATCTAAGTCCCAAGAGGAACTGATTTTAGCAGTGGGCAGCAAAATGGCTAAAAACCATTTCACTACAATTGGTCTAAACTGCGGACACCACTAGCTAAGCTGCAAATCAAATAAATGAAACATATCCAATATTATATCATTTCTTTTTTTTTTCTTTTTTTTTTCTTTTTTAAATAAAAGCCTGTTCATTTACCAGTCCTGTTGAGATTTTAGTTGATGTCATCTGCAAAGCGTGTTATGACATCCAGAGCATCAATTAGTCATTACGAAACACTGCCACATAAAGGAAAGTATCATCAGCATAGCTACAGAGTGATGCCATGCCTCCCAGTGATTCCACCATAGAGAATTTTGTGGATTGAAAAGTAGTGGCACTAAAACAGATCCCTGAGGAACCCCACAAGTCCAAGAGCTAAACTCACCAGGCTTCCAATGATGTATCTGAAGCACGGGAGACACTAAGCTGGTCTACAGACAAGAGAAAACTTAACTGGCTCAGCTGTAGCGTCATTACCACATTGGTGAGCTAAAAGATCTTGCAGAGAATGATGGATCGATATACTGCTGGATCTGGATTGGCAAAGGAGTATCAGGTTTAGTTGGAGCGAAATGCCCCCAAACACACAGATGGACCAAAAAGAGACACAAGGAGAAGAGAAAGAAAAGGCAGAAACAATATGGCTGAGGGGGAGGTACAGCCGGGACCATGACAATAGGAGATAAACCCATTAAAACTGTTCCAGAGTAGCCGGTGCGTTTTCTCAGTGTACTTACAATGGGTTCTTTGATAGATTTTGGGTGATTTTACACGGTGTTCTGGTAAGGTCTGGTAAGAATTCATGGTTCTGTTAGTACAAAATACACCATGTTAAAATTGTGTTATATTTTATCATTCCAAATGTTTGTCCTTCAGGTTTTCGAAATCTCCACGTGGACGACCAGATGACAGTCATTCAGCAGTCTTGGATGGGGGTGATGGTGTTCGCCTTGGGATGGAGGTCGTACAAGAATGTCAACGGCAGGATGCTTTACTTCGCCCCAGACCTCGTCTTCAATGAGTATGTACAGCTCCTCAGGATCATCACTTTCATTCATTTTCCTCCTTAGGTGTTTTGTTGTTGTTGTTGTTGTTGTTGTTGTTACTGTGAAATTGGGCCTGCAGAGTGAAGCTGTTTCTGATCTGAATATTTCATCAACAGTGGTGAAGTCTGTGTGAGTGTTAGTGGGGAATACTAATGGCTACAAATTCCTATTTAGATCCATCAAATGTTTACTGTCACAGAAATCTGGGAGTAGATAATGCAGCTTAATTGTTATCTCTTCAGTGTTTAGCGTGGGTGTAATGTGGTGACATACAGGGTACAGGATCTTTTACACTTTACATTTAAATGTGCTATTCAACTCTAAACATGTAGAATTTAATCTACATTACTGTGTATAAGTTCTTTTTTGCATGTCCACATCCACAAAGCTGTTCAAACAAGCTTTGTGTTCACTGATAATAATTTGTCAAGTTTTCATAATGACAGAAATGATTTACATTATAACTCTAAACAGTTTTTGATAGGATACAAAACCTGACTTTTTTTTATTTTATTTTTTTTTTAAAGTGCAACATCTGTATATGTTACATACTACATTTGGTCCTAATGAACCCTGAATTTGCATTTGAATGTATTTTATTGGACAAGGGAGAATTATAGTTTAGATTTTATAGCTCCATAACTGAGTTTTTACATCCATGTCAAAATAAACCGCTTTCATTCTCATCAAACCACAATACACGATAGGTATGAAAGCACGATGAAATACACATAGCAAAAAAATAATCACTGATTGAATCCCATTTTGTCGTTGTGGATTTGTGCTGAGCAAACTTGTGCAGAATAAGTAAAGGTTTGTTTTTTTCCCCCAAGTAATTGTTCAAATTATCCAAGCAGACAAACATCAGGAAATCGAACAAAAATAGTCTCTAATATTGATTAAACTGTTAATTTGGACACTTAATCACAAAAGCCCGACTTTGGAAATAGTACATTAAATAAATTAAGCTATTTGCATGTAATTGTGTGTAGAATTTAGCTGTTAGACGGCTCTGCGTCTGCTGTTTGGGCCAAACTGTGTAAGTTAATAAATGAGGAGGTCCATTAGTGTGCTAGTTTTTGTGGACAAAAATATGTTGGTTATTGCTTTAATCTTTAAACTAATGCATCTACTGTGGAGCATTGTGTTTGCCTTTTTTTTGTTTTCTTTTTAATCACTCATACCATTCTATTTGTGACACAAGCACGTAAGCAGTAATTGTTTTTTTTGTACAGGTGTGTCTTTTTTTTTTTTTTTTTTCAAAGTGTGGTTGATGGAAATGTTGAGAGCCAGTGCATTAGGACAGTGTAATTAAAAAGCCCCTCCAACCCTCCAACAATTTAGCACAGCACTTCCATAAAGTTGACAGACAAGAGAAAGACATTGGTCAAAAATGAAGCAGCAAAAGCAGAAGTCCTGACATTCAAACAGCTCTTTTTCTTCATTGTAGTTTCAGTTCCCATCAGCCGGAGTAACTGTAATCCTTTGCTAATAGAGATTTTTTTTTTCTTTTCCCCTGCAAAGCACACAAAAAACAAAGGCATCATGCAAAAGCGCTGCTCGAAATTTCATCACAGTCGTGGGATATGTGTGCTAAATGTCAACTGATCCGGCAGCTGAACAGGTTGTTTTGAATGTGATGTAAATCTAAAACTGTACACTGGAGCACAGAATGTCACGGCACTGATGTGTTCAAAAGTCTTTTCAAAATCTTTCCACAACCTTATCCCCAGTCGAAATCCAAATCCTGCAAACTAAAGGTATAAAAATAGCGTTCCATTAATTCTGTTGTTTTTCAAGGTGTAGTGGATCAGCAGCTCAGGCTTTGAGACCTGAATCGGGGCAGGTGCAGAACATACAGCCCAGATATGTGGATAATTTGAGATAACTGAAAGAAATATGAGTAAAAAGTGGGCTTTTATGTTTTTATTTGTCGCTTACCTTCTCCTGCCAAGTCAAGTCTTACGCTCAGGAGTAGTACAAACCCCAGTACGGTCATTGTAGCTGAAGACTAAATGAAAAATTGCCTAAACACTTGTGTGGTTTTTCCACCAAACATTTAATTGTTCTGACATACCTTATTTTATCATTACAATCTCCTCAGTTCTGTGGTTTAATTAAAGGTTATTAACATGAGAGGAAGAATGTACTGTGGAGTTTATCACAATAGAAAAAGTCAGTTGATCGAGGAGACGGTTTGTATGCAGGGAGTCGCACAGACAGTCTTAGACGTTGGTATGACTTCCCTTTTTGGGAAATATTTGAATATTATGATATTTGAGAAATGTTAGTGTTCTTGCCAAGAGTTAGATGAGAAGATTAATGACACGATTCTCATATTCATGCCGTAAACACCCCACTCTAGCACAACATTAAAACCGCATGCCTAATATTGCGTAAACCGCTGCCAAAACAACTCTTGCATGTCAAGGCCTGGAGCCCACAGACCTCTTAAGGTGTCTTGTGACAACAGGCCCTAAGACGTTAGCAGTAGATCCCTTAAGTCCTGTACATTGCGAAGTGAAGCATTAAACTTGTTTTACCAGCACATCACCCTGATTGAAATCTGGGAATTTTGCAGGCCAAGTCAACAACCTGAACTCTTTATCATGTTCCTCAGACCAGTCCTGAACTAATTTTGCAGTTTGGCAGAAAGCATTTTAATGATAAAAGAGGCCGCTGCCAACGTGGACTGCTGTCGCCATTGGGGAGTGTTTGTGGCATGCATCACTGTTTAGGTATAAGTAAATGCAAGCCTCAAGAACTTTGCCCAGAGCATCAAACTGCCTGCACCAGCTTGCCTACCTTCAGTAGCCTACCTTCTTGCTATCATCACTTCCCAGGAAAATGACGCACTTGGCCATCCACATGATAAAAAGAAAATATGATTCATTAGACCAGACTACCTTCTTCCGTTGCTCCATGGTCCAGTTCTGCCCATTTTAGGTGTTTTCATCAGTGGAGAGGGTTCAGTATCTGATGCACTTTGTGCTCTGATGCCTTCCTATCATCAGCTATGAAGTTTTCAGCATTTATGTGCTACAGTAGCTCTTCTTCGGGATCAGACAACACCGACCACCCTTCACTCCTCGTCAGCCACTGAGGAGATGCTCTTACCCAGTTATCTAGCCCTCACAGTTAGTCACTTCTCAAAGTTGCTCAGATCATTAAGCTCACCAATTTTTCCTGCTTCCAACACATTACCTTCAAGAACTGACTGTTCACTTGCTGCCAAATATATCCCAACCCGTGACAGGTTCCACTGTAACGAGATAATCAATGTTATTTGCTTCACCTTGTCAGTGGTTTGGATGTTGTGCCTGGTCATTGTGTAAGGTACAGGAAGCAGCCAGGTAGCTTAGCTTAGCATACAGACCCAAAATACCTGGAAACAGACCGGTGAATTGCCATTTTTATGCTTTCAATAGAAATTAATTAAACAAGCTGGTAATTGTTGAGCTATGGAGGTGGGTTTTGTTACCACTGGAAAGATCTATGCTAGCTCTGCCATCCTCAATTTTCCATCTTTACGCTAAGCTAAGTTAAGCTAATTGACTGTTCACAGCGATTACGTAGGGTGCAGACATTCGAGCGATATTAATCCTTTTAATTTGTGGCAAGAAAGTGACTGAATGCAAGACCGTTGAACAATTTCTTTAATTAAGCGTACACTTTGCAAACTGGCTGTTTTAAGGTCGTTAGTTTTCTATTTCACCCGGTTGGTGCATATTCTACATTTATACAACTGGATATCTGAAAGTCTGCATTGATTTCCATAGAGATGAAGAACATTCGGCTCTCTATTAAGCTCCATTTCACATCTCTTTTTCTTTCAATTTTTGCTCTCTTGGTGACATTTCTATTCTAATTCCTAAAATGTGCTTCATTCCAGCTTAATCTTCACAGCATATGAATGCAAATATGTTACAAACTGTCATTTTCCTGATTCATAAAAAAAAAGGCAGAATGATTTCATGTTGGAAGAGATGTCGAATTTTGATGATAATTTCTCTTGTTCACCCTTCGTTCAGGTTTCAAGCCAATGACAGATGATGGAATTCTACTGTAACAGAGCTGTGTGTTTTTAACATCTTCCATAGATGTCAAAAGAAATCTGTATTGTTGTAATGTAATTCACAGTCAGTGGTACAGATATGGATTTAACCTCTTGACTTTCTTTTCTCTTCCGAAGTCATCCATTTAAGAATAAATGTCAGACGCGTGAAGCAATTTATCCTTCACCTCGTGTGATTTGAACATTCCCACTTGTCCACGTCTCTCACCCTGACCTTTTTATCTCCACAGACATCGGATGCATATTTCCAGCATGTATGAGCACTGCATAAGGATGAGACATCTTTCTCAGGAGTTTGTGTTGCTGCAGATCACCCAGGAGGAGTTCCTCTGCATGAAGGCCTTGCTCCTCTTCAGCATCAGTAAGTACTTGTCCTGTGTGCTGAGTATCAAAACATCAACCCCTTTACTTCATCCCAGAAGCGGACATGCAGCACAGAGAATAAGGTCAGACATGTATCTGCTGAGCATTTAGGCCAACCAGTTTCTTCTGTTTTCATCAGTTCCAGTTGAGGGTCTGAAGAATCAGAAGTACTTCGATGAACTGCGTCTCACCTACATCAACGAACTCGATCGCCTCATTAACTGTCAAATGACGACAAATTGCTCTCAGAGGTTCTACCAGCTCACACGACTCCTGGACTCGCTCCAGATGGTGAGTTACACTGCTTCTGATATTCTCAAGTTAAACTGCTGTGGCGCTCACACATTCACGGAGGGAAAGGATACGACCGTGTCTCAGCTAGAATGCAGCCTAAGTTATCTGAACATGTGGGTGCATTTTTACCTCTGGACAAATTGGAAACAGAGTGTAAAGACTTATTACATTACACTAAAACATTTCTTGGCAAAATATTAGTATTGCATGCTGTGTTTGTAATAGCACACGGAAAACCAAAATGCTGCCTTTACACTGGTACAAATAGGATCTGATAACTGTACTTCAGGGTAGAAAAGGCCTAATGGACAAGTTGACTATGATTCACACCCTCCTGGCTCGTTTCCTAAGCCAGGCCGCTTGTTTTAGGAAAGAGCATTAGCTGCTTGTGTACCTTATGTTTTTGTGACTCATGTTTCCTGAGTCATTGTCAAAACACTGCTTGTAGCATACTTCACTGAAATTATGTCATGTATTCTTGTCTTCTCTTCTGTTTCAGACGGTGAAGAAGCTCCATCAGTTTACATTTGACCTCTTTGTCCAGGCTCAGTCGCTCCACACCAAGGTCAGCTTTCCAGAGATGATTGGAGAAATAATCTCAGTACATGTACCAAAGATCCTGGCAGGTTTGGCCAAACCAATCTTGTTTCACAAGTAGGATTTTTTTTTTCAAATCAAAAAATGACTCATCTTTGCTGCCACCATAAACTTTAACAAAGGCTTTGAACTGTTTCCCCACATCTTCAATCTGATTGCTTTTAGCCCTGTCCTGTAATAATTATTTTATTGCTCAAGTTTTTTTTCCCCCCCTTTTAGCCATAATTGAGCTTGTGTGTTCAGGACTGTTAAAGCTTTTATCCGAAGAGCTGCAAAGCATCACCTGTTGACAGCTCTGCAGTTTCTGAGAGGAGGGTTTTTGTTTTCAGATGGAGCAAAGATGCTACTTTACATACACAGAAAGCCTGTAAATCGTGATTACAGCAATCTACAAGTAGCAAGGTTAAAAACATGATGTTTTGCATGTGACCTTCATTATACATATACTTGACATGGTAATCATACATCCAAGAGATGGCCTTAAGAGCAGATGAGAATTGGATCACAGAAATAAACAAATACTTGTTTTTCAGAAACTTACCGAAAACTGTTTTTATGGAAGTCTGTGTAATGCTTTGCAGTGCTTGGAAATAAATAGATAGGTATGAAGCTTACATTATACATTTATTTTTGATTATTTTACAAATGCTTAATAATCTCTCGGTTTAATTTTTCATTGTTCACATTTGGGCCGTTGCTGCAGAATTACAGAAATACTCCAATAATGTTTTTTCGGCTTGGGTTTTTGCTGTACCATTATTGCCTGGGAGAGCCTACAGCCGCATTATGTATTACATAGCACATCTGGCCATGCAATAATTGCTTGGCCTCAATAAAGTGCTAACATTATTATAATAATGTTGCCTTCAGGCTAATTTAAATTTGCTGGCACACTGTCTGGCCATTTCTTAATTTATCTGTTCATTTATGAGCCTGTGGGCTTTATGTAAGGATTTGTATCATTACATACATGCATGCACAAACACACACACAAACACACACACACATGCGCACACAAATCTGCGCTACACAGAGTGGACCATTAAAGTACACCTGCTAACAGTGGACCAGTGTTTCTGGTCATTTAAAGAAATAAAAATTCAATAGAAAATGTAGTATTAGTATGTATTAAGTGTTGATTTATTCTATCTAGGCATTCATTAATTTAGCTATTCATTCAATTATTGATTAGCCTATGAGCTATATTTGAGGATTTGTATTATTACATACATAAATGACACACATTCAAATCTACCTTACAAAGAGTGGACCATGTAGGTCCACTGCTCACAGTGGACCACTTTCCAACATTTTCTTTTAACTGTTTTTGTCTTAATTAAAGTCCAAATATGCAGTTTTGCTTGTGGATTTAATATGTCTAGCTCATTCATTTATCTAATCATTTATTCAATTATTAGCCTATACGCTATATTTGAGGATTTGTATCCTTACATGCACACACACACACTGTTTCAAAATAAGATAGCCAATAAATTGTTGCATTGTCCGATGTAGTAAATAATGCAACTGCACTGTTGGATCAAAAAAAAAAAAAAATGGAGTATCAGAATACTGAGACATTTTTGATTTATGTCCAAAAGCAAAATTCAGAAGCAACAATCCAAACAAGAACAATTAAAAATTAAACTCAGAGACAATTATCCATGTGTGTAGTAATTAGAAAAAAAACAGATAATGAACATTTCAAAGGCATTTTCATCATCATTCTGTTGGTGCAAATGGAGCAAAGAACAGCAAAGCATTACACAGGCCGCTACCGTTTGTGGAGCTGAGTGTAGTTAAAAACAACTTGAGAGGTGTATTTTTATTTTAACCTTTTTTTTCTGGCCTTACTGCTAACCCTGAGCTATTACTACGACAATCAGTGTAGATTTGGTAGTCAGGTGGTATTACAAGTGTACGAGTGACTTGATATGCTGCATTATATTTCCTGTACACTAAACCTAGAATATTAGTGAGGTGAATGAAGTTCATTGTTCAGTAGTTGTAGTGCTGCAGAGTGCTCATCAAATACACACTCTACAGTAGCTAAATTTGATATCTCGATGAAGTCAGAAAAAGGGGAATTACAGCTATCACTGACAGACTCGCATGCTTTTTAGAATCTGCGGTCACAGAAAAAAAATAAAAAATTCCTAGTTTGGATTGTTGCTAAATAATTCTGCCAGCAGTCAAAAGCAGCTGTAGCAGTCGTACAAGGAAAACCTCACATTGTGCATGTCGAGCATAAATAATGATCATTACTATTTACTCTTGTCTGCTTCTAAAATCAGATGTCACACATGATCAATAGTACAGTTTTTTGTAAGTATACCCCAGCGTAAAATTTCAGCCAACAATCATTAAAAAAAACAACTTTTTTGTAAATGAAAACACTGTAAAGGGTAAACTGTGAGGAACTTTTACACATGTTGCCTTAAACAGTACAATCAGACAGAACACGCTGCTTGCTTCTTGCTACTTTTCATAATGTTTGCAGCAAATGTGTTGAACTGATATCTTTATGTTGTCATTTTTAAAGCATTAACTTAATATTTTGTGGGCCAAGATGGTTAAACAGGTACTTTGTTGGAGCAAAGCAAAAAAAAAAAAAGAAAGAAAAAAAAGCTTCTTTCTCCACAACACAGCTTTAAAATCAGTTTGGCTTTTTTTCCAGAATGAGATGATTTTACAGTCCAATTCAATTGTACCAGAAATTCCTGGTGAACGCTTCATGACAATTCGAATTCACAATGCAGCTGTTACTTGTTGTGTCGTTTTCTGCATGCCAAACTGTCTGTGTAAATATAGTGCCTTTGAGTTATGAGTTTACCGTGTAACAGCCTGGATTTGGCAAAAGAAAAAAAAACAAAAAAAGCGCCTTAGAGGTAAAACAAAGGAACAAGAAGAATTACAAGCTTGATAAAGCATTAATAAACTAACAAAAAGTCATCAGCACTATGTGAAGTTTCTTCACTCACAGTGTTGACAGCATCATCCTTTGAGCAGCGGCTTGCAACAGCAGGGACAGGGAGACTTGTAGGGATACGAGGAAGAGAGGATGGCACCAAATACAGGCAACTACCGAAGGAGAACTTGTTTCCGAGTGCCAGAGATATTAGATTAAGGCAGTAATGTTCCACCAGGGCAACAAATCTAAAATTTAAGCCAACTCAAAACTGGAAGGCCCTCAGATGTAGAATGTGAAAGTCCTTGACTGGCCCTGCCAACCGTCAGAGATGAAAACCAAGAAAAAAATCTGTGGAATGCCTTGAAGATAACTGATCCCAGATACTCGGGCTGAAAAGTAATAATGCATGAAGTTGAATACAACTGTCAGTTTTGAAATTTTATTTAAAAAACATAAACCAAATGGCGGAACATAATGCATTTCGTGCATTGACTCGGTCGACATGACTCAGAATGTAATTTTAACTGAAACGGCGTCTTTCAGTAAATGAACATAAATCGTAGCAGATCATAACTTCGAACAATCCAGCTGCTCTGTGTTCATCACAGACTCAACTTCTGTGGCTTACTCTGCAATGTTCAATCACTTTCAGCAATGTTTTATAACTCTGTAAATTCAACTGTTTTTAATGATTCTACATTCTTCTACAAGCTTGTAGATGCATGCATCATGCGTTTGTATAACTGTATGTGTAACTTTTAGCTTTACAAAACCAATGTGTGGACATCCATATATCCCTTCAATTATCTGTTTATTGTATACGGACTCGTAGTGCCATTATTGTTAAATGCACAGGACTTTTATCAGAAGGTGCAAGAACATTTTGTTGTACAGTACAGTGATGAGTTGACTCTGATGGTCACTTTCACAGTTTCTTTTGTAACTAATTCATTCATAAACTTTACTGAAGTGCGTAGAGTAGATTGCTTCATCTGCACATGAATTTGTCATGTCTTCAACTTGTCTTTGAATATTTTCCCTACGAAAGCGGGAACAAAAGAAATCCAGTGTCTATGCACAAGTTCATGTGATTTGTGGGACTCGTCCCATCGATGCATTGCACCCCGATGTTGAAATCAGAAAGTGATGAAACTACACAGAAATCAAATAAAAGGAATGTATAAATAAATAAATACACCAAAAATATAGTTTTCACGTGCAAAAATAATAAGCTAATTTGAAGTATTAGAATTTTCTTGATTTTTTTTTAACATCAGCACTTTTGATCTGAAATTCAGAAGCACGTTTATCCAGCCCCTTTACATTTCCTGAATGCACTACATTGTTGCAGCAGTTCTGATTTTGTTTAATTAAATCTGATTCTAAATAATGTTGTAGTTATTATGTTGTTTTAGTATAATTATGCATTAAATGGGGGAAATATGAAACGCTTTACCGTTGGGAGTGCAACCTGCGCATCAATGAGCCACATAGATGCTCGTGTACATTTTTAATACTTCTATGATTGATTCAGCTACAGTGTTTGTATTTTGTCAGTGGATAATAGCTGGTATGTGCCCAATGTACTGCATATTAACACAGTTCTTTGTACAGGCTACAGTAACTGTATATATTGATTAGTTTAATGTCTGTTTTGGTGTCTAAACACTTGACTTTTAAAGTCAGCTCTTGTATGATTTCTATCTTTTGTGACCTGTGTTTTTCAATATGTGTGTTTTTCAAAGATGTAAAGTTGCATCATCTTTTAAAGGCAATTAAAATAATTCTGACTCTAAAGATGCCACGACTTTCTTTGAATTTTAAAGCAATTTTACAAGCGCTGTGAAACAGTAGTTGTGCAAATTTTAGTTCATGTTTTGTTCATTCTTGAGCTATACACTGAACAACATTATCACGGGGAATAGTAAGTAAGCATTGAATTATATTTATTAGGAGAAAAACAATTATGACTATCAGGTGGTGGCACATTCCCTAAAGCATGAATGGAAAACGTTAGCAAGGCAATGTTTCAATGAGAACACACATTCTTTTCTTCTCTTGTGTGCGTGCCACTGTTTGAGAGCCATGTGCTTTGTGGTAAATTAATTTACTGAAGCTCAAGGACATATAATTTGGATTTAAACTGTCGTGGTCATTTCCACCAATCCCTGTGCCAGCCATCCGCCTTTTCCAGCCCTGAGGCTGTGGATGGGCCACATCGAGGCCCGGGCTGGTGGGGTGAAAAGGGCCAAGGTGAGGAGGGAAGGCTTGGGCCGGGCAGTGGAGGCTGGAATGTGGTGGGAGGAGTGGATGGCAAAATAAATACAATGTCCAACTGCAAACAGGTTTTTAATTCAGATAATCAGCAAGTAGTTTTAGAAACTAATGTGTTCGTCTTTTGAAGTTATAGTGTTTTGTGTGACGGCCCAGTGTCAGCTGCTGCCATGGAGGCCCAGAAAATCCGTTTACCTGTGGGTCCCTGAAGCCATCAGGACGGCCCATAAATCTCAGACATCCCTCTCTTGCTGTCTCTCTCATTCATTCTGTTACCTTTTTGTCACCTCACATCCCATCACTCATTCACCCCTACACTACTGATACTACTGATAGTCACACTCCATACTTATAAGTGTTTGTTAAATGGTTTGCTTTTAGCCCTGTGATAGACTGGCGACCTGTCCAGGGTGTCCCCTGCCTTCGCCCTAAATCAGCTGGGATAGGCTCCAGCCCGCGACCCTCGTGAGGATTAAGCGGTGTGTAGATAATGGATGGATGGATGGATGGATGGTTTGCTTTTGGTTATAATAAACATCTTTATTTTGAGGTAAATCTGTGTCCCTTCCCATATTTGTTATAACTCCCGAGCCAGGTTATGACGTTTGTTTCAGAGGTCAAACGTCATGGAGCCTCATGAACAGTCCTGAAGGCTGGTTAAGGTTTAGAAAAGATGACAGTCATGATCTGACTGTATAAACCAGTTTATTCACGAATTCAACACTGCAAAGACACACACCAGAAAAATTGGAAAAATGTTATTGCTCTATTGATGGAAATGTTACCGTTGTTGGATCCAAACATAAAGTTTTATGGCCTCACAAGATAAAACCATCTAACTATTGATCTGATTTTTATGCTGGCGCCACCATCCCACGTCATCACCAGTTCACCATGTCATACTTAATGTTTGACTAAATACCCACAAGATTTTATTAGCCTTGGATGTTCTATATTTTCCATTAACTATGATGCCAAATATAACTCTTTAAAATCATTAATGTGATTGTGAGCATGATGCTGAGGTTGTCACTCTGCTCTAAGCACCACTGTGCATGTTTATAGCCTCATGGAGCCACTAGAAAGGCTCCTCTCGGAAAATATCAGTTAAAAGGGCAGCGCATAGATAAAAAAAACTATTGTTACAGTCAAGCTTTTCAACCGTCATCAAGTGGTTCACTCCTCATTCTCAGCTGACATTTATGTGGAGTGGCATGTTGGGCCCCATCTTATTAATGCCATCCACATGCTTCCAAGTGCAAAATAAAACCCATCCATCCATCCATCCATGCAGTCAACCATTTCCTCCCACTTACACTTTTAACTTTTCCTTCTTTCCTCATGGAGATCCCAGAGCGTTCCCAGGCCGGATGAGATATGTACACTAGAAGCTCATAGAATTGTAGAAAAAGTTGTCAAAATAGTCTTATTGTATTTTATATTGATAATTATGGTTCATAAAAACCTGAAATTCAGTACATCAGATCAATCAAAGAAGGATTTACAATACAGAGATGTCCAACTTCTAAAAAACAAAATATGGTTATGATGAATACATTTAACACTTAGTTGAGTCTCCTTTACCACAAACGAATGCATCATTTGAGCGTGGCATAGAGGTAATCAGCCTGTGCCACTGCTCGTCTGTGTTTTTGAGTTTTTAATCTTCCTCTTGACATTACCACGATGGGGTTCAGGTCAGGTGAGCTGGCTGCCAATCAAGCACATAGTTAGCGAACCACTCGGTGCTAGTTTTGGTTCTGTGCTCAGGTGTTCAGTCCTGCTGGAAAAAGAAATCAGCATCTCCAGAAAGCTTGTCAGCAGATGAAACCATGAAGTGATCTAAAATGTCCTGGTAGACTTGAAACTCAGTGGACCAACAACAGCAGATGACCTGAGGCCCCTAAATCAGCAAAGACTGAGGAACACCTTGGATTCGGTTCCTCTCCACTTTTCCTCCAGACTCGGGGACCTTGATTTCCAAATAAAATGCAAAATGTGCTTTCACCTGAAAAGAGGACTTAAACCACTGATCAACACTTCTTCTTCTAGCCCAGGTAAGACCTTCTGATGTTGCTTCTGGTCCAGAAGTGGCTTGATATTGGTAATGTAACAGTTGTAGCCCGTTTCGTGAAGACGTCTGCGCTTGGTGTCTCTTGATGCACTGACACGGTGTCATTTTAGTCACTTGTATCTGCGGTCCAAATCTTTCAGTCACAAGTATTTGTTGTTCCAACCCATTACGTCTCTACAACAGAACGGCATCATGAACCAGCCAAGTACACACTATAATGGAAATAATAACAGATCGATTGAGAGTGAAGTTACATATGAACCATTTTAATCACATAGTACCACACATCTGCGACTCATAGAGGTAATGAAGCTGTCAATGTTGGCTTGTGGAACGTTGTCCCACTGTTCCTGAAGGACTTGGTGAAGTTGAACATTCTAGGTGAAGTTTTCGAACACATCCTTCCAGATTTGTCTAAAAACGATTTCTTAAATGGAAAATGGTGGACTTGTGGACATTCAGCTGCCTGGCTAAGTCTTTGACCTTTTGTGATTTGAGTAAAATTGCATTTAAAGGTGACCTTTTACAGCCGCTGGTCAGTCTGTAATGGTGACGCCGTCTGATCTCTGTCCTTTTAAGCCAAACCTGACTGGAGTGATGATTAACTCCATGGTTGGGAATTTGTCACCAGTTGAACGGCTCAAAAGTCTATTTGAACCATTTTCCCAATCATAACACCAGAAATGAACTTTTTTTTTCTAAGTCAGGAAAAAAAAAAAAAACATTTCCATTATAAAACTTCTGACGAGTGAATAAGTTGTTCACAATCGTATTTATTTTCAATTCCCCTTTCCCCTGTTGATTTATCGAGGTCCAGTCTGGACAAAGGTATTATTCGATTTCATTAAATGTTTCCAAATTAAAGCCATACTAAGATGTTACAACCTGTATAATTCTTGTGTAGCGACTGGGTCTCCAACACCTGTAGGCTGTGAAAAATATAATTGCTTCCACCACAGCAAATGTGATGAACCTTTTGAATAAACCCGACTCCGTTCTGCAAGCTACAAATTAAAAAGAATAATTAAAGCCGCAAGCGGCGATGGACGGGTCCTCGCCCTACGCTTGTCGGCCGTCGCGCACGGCGGGGTGTGGCGCAAACCTGCTCCAGGCACGACTGTGATGTGGCATGTCGACTTTGGGGCAGATCAGAGCAAGTGCGGCCTAGTTA